TTTTTTAATGGTGGGTGTTTACGCAGTTGGCTAGAGCAGTGCTGATTGGGGAGAACGGAGGTGCGCTCACTCTATTGGTTAGTAAGACTGCAACTCAAGGCTGGCAGTCATGCATATGCTCTGGAACGGAGTAATATCGCGTCCATATCGCAGGCTTTGCGATTAGGAAATCGAAACGTCTCAAATCGCGATTTCGATTCGATTTCGATTAATCGCACAGCCCTACTGTACACATACTATACAATTCAGAATTTATTTATTTTGTTTGCTTTTTTTTTCTTCTTTCATATGTGCTTATATGGGCTCCTTATATCATTTGGTTCCTTGGTGTCCTTTTGGAGTTTTGGAGTTCTTTTGGAATCCTTGTTTGGGAAGACATCTACATTTATATTGAAAAAAGCTTTCAGAAAATACAGATTTTTGAGAATCACCCTTCAATCTTTTGGTTTACTTTGCTGAATATAGCAAATGATGACAAAATAAACATTTGAAACAAGATAAATGGTCTATGCTTAATTTCATGAATTGTGCGATTAATCGCGATTAATCACAGAAAAAGGGTGTGATTAAATAGATCAAAAATTGTAATCTATTGACAGCCCTGATACACACATATACATATATTAATTACAACCTAACATTTGAATGATTATAAATCATAAAATACAAAATACTAGACTGATTCAAAGATTTTACATTTTTTGTTCTCTGATTTTCAGCTACATCGCAAAGACTGGCCAATGACGTATCCAGCAGACGTGCCTCAAGTCAAAAATTGTAAACCTTTCACCCTGCTCATTTCAACCACCATCTCCTCATGCATAACGCACATTGTTACATTATTTCTTTATACTGGTTTTATTATAGAATACGTATGATCAAATGTCATTCAACTGGATGTAATGACCTGCAGCTGGCTAAGTTAGCCAGGCTACTTTCCAACATCACTCATGGGGTCATAACTAGCAATATGACGTGAAAAGGAAAAAAAAAAAGGCTTCAACGTCATTTACGCCATATTAAGGGCTATATTCCCAAGTGAAAATAAAAAATGCAAAATAGATTGATACAAAGGCCCTAAAGACGCAGGGAGTAGATTAGCTCAAGCTACAGACAGTCACACCTACCTTAGTCCGGATCAGGTTCGGATCCCAGCCCGGTCTGAGCTCTTTAATCAGCTTCATCGCCCCCTCCGTCACGTTATGTTCGTCCACGAATATCTGAAATTTTCTGATCGTCGGTGATCCGATCGGCACGTGGATCTCCGTCTCCATCATATGATTTAGCTGCCTATTAATACCCGACATGAAAGTTTCTGAATCTATAAGTAGTCAATACGTATATTAAGTATTCCTAGGTTCTGAAGGTTTTTATTTGAATGTGCAGTGGAGGTCCAGCCTGGTTTAATATATGCAGAGAAAGAAGAGCGGTTCATATGCCGGTTTCTATCATCACGACAGGAAAAAAACGGCGCTTCTTCCTTCTACGGACGCCGCCCACAAGAAATCATCCGATGACGGAGGCCTAGCTCATGAATATTAATGAGGTCAGGCTGACTGGCCTTTTCTTTGGCTAAGGGATGGCTTATTAATATTAATTAGATCATGTGACGTTGCCTTCGTAATCGTCCATTGTAAACACTTGGCTCATGAATATTACGAGATAAGCCTTCGGCATAGTAAGTTTAGTAAATAACCTTGCTCTCCGTCTTTATCAATAAAAATGTGCTCATAATTTGTGTTTTTTTATAGTATAATTTTATGTGCCTTAGTATTAGAAAGAAAGAACAGGCTATAATAGAAAAATTCTGAAGTCAAACTTGAATCAGGGGAAATGTAAACAATATGAAAATTAGTCAAATCAGACGACACGCGTAGAGAAGTGCGTTGTCAAAACTGATCTCAGGCCACTAGGAGTCTCTTACTGCTCATTCATGTTTATTAGGCTACATGAGCTAAAGTGGAACAGACCCCCTACAAGCCACAGGTCTAACATCATAATGCAAAGAACATGCTTCATGATAATGATGTGAAATATGTGTAAATAGTTTATGGATAACATATAAACTGCAAAATAAACCAAAAAAAGTTTACAGAATGTTGCAGGGAAAATAAAACTGGTAAAAAAAAGTCAGTTTCACAATTCTATTATATTTTAATTATATTAATAATAATGTAATATAATAATTGTTCCTTTTTTATTTTCCTTGCAACATTCACAAGCTATTTACATATTTTAGAACCATTTTCTAAAATGTTCTAATATTTTACATGATTAATATAATATAATATAATATAATATAATATAATACTATTATTAATACTGTTATATTTTATATCGAATTATATTGTAAATATTATATTGTTATATTATATATCGAGTCACATGTATATATAATTTAAAACAAAAAAACATCATAACATTAGATGATTATTATTATTATTATTATTACTATTGACCAACATTTTTTATTTATATTTATACATATTTTAATTTATAATTAATATATAATTAGAATTAGTATATATATATATATATATTGTTCTGTGTTGGTCTGACATCACTATTAATTTAGCTTGTCTAACAGGAAACAATCTCAGGCATATTAGGTTTTTTGTTTCACAGAGCAATGAGTGGGCCACTGCACACACGGATGTCATGCTTCACACTTGCAGATACATGTCTCTGTCAACTGTTTCCTTTTTAGTCAAGGACTGGAATGTTGTGTGATTTTTCTGAGGGCAGTTGGTCTCCTAACAATGTATCCTGGAAACTCTGAACTTGTTTCTGCAGAAGCACTGCTAGAGCGGTTCATGCAATGCCAAAGAGTTATTTGCCCTCCATCTGAACAGACAATGAATTACCTGTTCACTTTAAAAGAAACCCAACTATAAAGAGTTATTCTTTCTGGGTGACCTAAAGAATTCCACACCCAAGATAAATTCCCCTTTCAAAGTTCATGTTGACACTTCTTGTGCAGTTAAGTTTGTCCTGGCTTCTCTTTTTCATGCACATGTGCACTTTACATTTACGTGTATTCTTTCTACATTAACAAACACAGATACACACAAAAATCTACTCTGTGAATTATTCTCTGCACAATAATTAAATACAGATGCTGAGTAATTTAACAAAAAGGAGACAGATGGGTTTCTAAACATATTCATGACTGGCTCTTTCACCCCACAAGACGGCCATAAAACGGACATTTCAAAAGTCACTTTCTTTACAGATGCACTTTTGTTTCACAAAAAAAAATCATTGACAGAACACAGACGACACGGATACATGCATGTAATGTTTTACACAAATAATTTACATTATAAAATGTGTATGAATACTATTATATTTCACTTTATTTTACAAAACCAAACTATTAAAATGTGTTTTCTTTAATTGAAATAAATCTGAAATAAAATATAAATATTAGATGAAGAACATAAATGAAAAAATTTAAAGGAACAATATTGCCTTGGAAATTAGCTGAAATAAAATATGTTTTAGTTGAGGTTCTAAATTTGCTTAAACGAAAACCGAAATCAATAGCCTAGAAAGCAAGGCTAACTAGAAATATAAAATTATTAAATATAAAAAAATTCAAATAACTGAAAATAGGAAATTACTCAAATTAAAACTGAAGACAATATAAAGAAAATAATTTAATAGAAATATAAACAATATCGGAAAAGCACATAACAAATTTACTAAAACTTAAACTAAAATTAAAACTAAAACAACAAATATAATTATACACACACACACACACACACACACACACACACACATAATTAAATACATTAAAATTAAGTTAAATAAATATATATTTATTATTTATATTTTAAAATTAAGTATCATTACAGGTTGCTGTGGTTAAAAGTACCTGCTAAATTTATAAATGTAAATTGGTGTATATCACAAAAAGAATTTGATGGATTTGGACGGAAACATCAAATTGTCACGAAAATAATGTCACAATTAATAAAGTCTTTATGCAAAGATTTTTCTTTTTGAATTTGGGGTGAAATATGAACCTTATATGTTCTTGGCAGGCAATATTTATCCATATTATGGCTTTGACATCATATACAACTAGCACACCATAACCTCAAAAAATTCCAGTGAGGTTCAGAAACAGATCCATCTTTATTGCGGAAGTAAAACTATGTACCCTAAGAAAGTTTGTTCAATGGTGGAACACAGACATGAATTTAGTGTCTTTTATAGGCTGTTGTAAATGTTGGTAAGATAAGGAACTGTGTGGAGAACTGTAGGAATTTCAGTCCTTCTAGAGAAATCAATGAGACATCGCAGTGGAATCCACATATATGTTCTGAAAGAAAAAAAGATTATCAACTATAGCCGCCTTTTCCACCGAAATTACCTGGAACAATTTGTCCCAGGAACACACCGAGTATACCGGCCCAAAGTCTCTAGTTCCTGGGGAAAGTTCCTGCGGTGGAATCGGGGCTTATGTTATCAACTGAATGAATACATGTGATAAAACGTAACACAACTGACATGGTGGCCTCTCAAAATAACACATTTCCAGAAAAGATGAGATGTCTTTAAAATAGTTTAAAATAGACAGCGATGAGATTGAATTGCTTCTGAAATTCGAAAAAGTTTCACATGGATCTAGAGTTTCAGACGAGATCTTGACATTCTTAAGATGAGGTGGGATATTTCCTTTAAGACCCAATCTCGGTCAAGGGAGGGGTGTGATAAGATGTTTGTCTCTACCTGCTCATACACACATCTCTAACCTGTGTTGAGTTTGACTCACAGAAGCACATATGGACTAAACAAAAGCCAAGATCCCAAACCCATCAATAGAGAAATTAGCTTCCAGAAACATGGTCTGTATCTTCTCCCTATGGCCCTTTGACCCCTGACACCCCTGCTCTGCCGTGGGCTCCAAAACCTTTCAGTTTCAAATAAGCTCCTTTCAAGCAAAGTAAACAAGCTTTCGAAGAGCAGCTGCAGGTTTTGGATGTGAATGGCTCACTATTGATCTGGGGGAGTTTCATTTTCCATGCACAGCATTACAATCCCATTTGCCTAAGGACGGCAATGAAAATCAGAGTAATCTGAAAAAGATTACAGAGAATAATCTGACAAAATAAATGACATCGATTTCATGCGTCATTAGGGAGCCTATTGAGAGGATTTCTTCTGAGAGTGACTCTTTCGCACCGGTTAAAGTGCTCTCATCACTCATTCAGTCTGTTCGCGACTGTCTTTTGTGTTTTGTTTAGATTGTGCTTTGCTTATCTTGACAACTTCTTTCAATATAAAATGTGACAATTAAATGTAGCCTCAAATCTATTTCCAAACACAAGAGGAAAACAATTAACACATTTGTGATGTTGACGTTTTACCCGTTGATTACCTGAAGCAGGTGAACAGGTTTCTGGGTAATCTTTAACTGAGATGGATGTGGGATGTTTGCTGTTCTCTATATTGTGGGCCAAACTGTGTCTTTTTTTCTTTGGTTACACATTCCAAATTTCAAACAGCAAAGTTCGTTTCTTAAAGCAATTAGGTCAGACTTATGATTAATACTAGGTAAGAGGCCAATGACTATCATCTTGCGAAACAATATCATAATTAGTGGTTTTAATTATTAATAAATATTATTTAAATTTCATAATTACTCATATTTAATAAAGCTAACATATAAAGACCTTAAAACTTAACATGTGCATCTCAACAAATGGGCAACACAATAAAATAAACAATATTATAATATTAAAATATACAATATAAACTATATATATATTTATGTGTGTGTGTGTGTGTGTGTATGTATACATATATATAACAATAGTGGTTTTATAATGAAAAATATCTGCGTTGAACACACACACACACACACACACAATGTCAATTAAGATCAAAATTAGTGGTTTAATTACGGATAATGAAAAATGAGTTTGCTCCTAATCATATCTTTTTAAATCATAGATAGCGGATAATTATCTTTAATATTAATTTTATAAAACTATAAAAACTATGTTTGACAATGCATAAAAAAACCTTTAAAACAACTTAGCAATTATAAAAGTCATAATAAAGCCAAATATGAAAGTCAAATAAAATCATCTTCTTTTTAAATTGTGAATAGCGGATAAATAATGTACACTATAATTAATATTATATTTTTTAATGGTGTTTGATAAGCCAAATTCCTTAAAACACCTTAGCAGTCACATGACATGCAAAAACACGTTACTGTTATGTTTGCACCAGATGATACTAAAACCGGTGTCATTTATGAGCAAATTTCTCAGTGAAGTGTTTAATGGACCCTGGATGAACACTAACACGTCTGTGATCCATGATTGACAAAATTATGTCTGCTTTTCTGTAAAACAGGTCACCGTCTGTGGAGTTTTGACTTGTCCCATCAAGACCTGACAGAAACCAGCAAATGTATGATAGCATGATATCTCACATCTATAGATAATCTGGCGCTCCACAAAGAG